TCTTCCCCTTCTTTTTCTTTTTTTTTTTTGTTTTTCCCCCCCCCCCCCTTGTCCCTTTTTTTTTGTTTTTTTTTTTTTTTTTCCCCCCTTTCATTGCTTCTCATTCTACCTTTTGCACAGTTTGTCAACATGATGGGTCATATATAATATTAATATTATATATATTATATATATAATATATAAATATACATATATATAAACATATATTTAGTATATATACATATAACATTATATATATATACATATATAATTATGTATATACATATAACATATATATACTATATAACAAATTATATATAGTACATATATACTATCATAATAGCATATATATATGATACTTATAATAACATACATATATATACACTATACATATATGATAAGCCATATATATCATATATAAACACATAAATATATATACACATATAATATACATTACAATATGATAGCACATATACTTATACAATACATATATATCACTATATATATATACAACATAAATAGCATACATATTATAACATACATATATAAGCATTACGCATATAACTACAGGCATTATATAAGCAATTACATATAATACATTACATATCAATACACATATATATACAAACATATTATTATAATATAATCATATATTATATCACATATATATACATGACATGATAATACCACATATATAATCAGCAAATATACACATATATAAGATAGACACATATATAATACACAATATATATAGGTAACATACATCATATATAAATTACACACACACGATACTTATATATACATATTATCTATAACCACATATATTATATACCCTACAATCACATATATATATTATAAAATATTAATATCCTATTGTAATATTATATAACACACGACAATATATATATCTATGCATACATCACAACACACACACAACACACAGCACACAGCACAGCACATATATATATATGAAACACATATATATTATAGTTATACACTAATATATATATGTGCATATTATAACTCATATTATACATATTAAAGTATGTATATTTCTATATAATAGTACAATAAGTATAACATACGATGTATCTAACATATGGTATATGTAGTATATACATTGATAACTATTACATATATATGGATACATACATATATATATGATATATATAATATAGCCATACACATATACATACACACACAAATATATGCATATATACATATACATATATACACATTATATAATATATTGTATTTTTATATATAAATATTAGTCTATATGTATATATATATATATATATATTATAATATATAATATGTATATACGTAATACGTATATGTATAGATACATATATGTATATATGCATATATCATGTACATATACATATATATATAATAACATAATATACATATTATATGTATATTATATAATACGTATACATGTGTGTGTGTGTGTGTGTATATAAATAATATATATATTTATATATTATATATATAGATTAATAATGTAATTATACACATATACATGTATATACTGTTTTTTTGTTTTTTATATATGTTATATAGTAATATGTATATGTTATGTATAAGTGTGGCGTATATGTAATATGTATATGAAATGATATGATAATATATATACATATATAGAGAGAGAGGCACAAAATTTCCACAGCTTCTACTCTCCTTCTCCTCCGTTTGCTTTATCTTCTTTTTTTCTTTCTTTCTCCCTCCCTGTACTACGCCATCTCTCGCCACAAGGTCTTAAGGGCGATATTAGATATCTTCATCCCTCGATCGGGGCCGAACGGGATGTGGGTCAGCACTTTCGTTGGCCGCCGCTCGGGGGAATCCCGCCGCCGCCGCTCCGTCGTCGGGGTCCAGCGCTCGCTGCGCCCTCTGGATCGAGTCAGGGAGGGGGGGCGGGGGGTGATGTTCGAGACCGTGGCATCTATTTACCATCTTAAAAAGTATGCATATACAATATATTATACCTATATACCTATCTATATATATTAATATTATATATATACTATATATATTATATATATGTATGTAATATATATTATATAATTATACATATATAATAATAATATAACATATATATCACACTCACTATCAATATATATACCTATATATCCACATCACCCAACATACTACATATTATTATACAATATAAATATATATTATATATATATATATATATACATATATAGATATATATATACTACATATACATATATATAATATACCTATATATATACATATATTATATATAACATATATTACATATACATATATATATTTACATACATATACATATCATATTTATACATACATATACATATATTACATACATAACATAATAATATACATAAACAAATACATATATATAATACTTATATACTTACATAATAAAAATAATCATATATACAAATATATTATCATAATAACAATAATACAAATATTATACTAATCTTTAATATAACATAATATATACATACTATATACTATACATTAACATATACATATCTAACAACATATACATAATATATATTGTATAAATAATATGTAATCATATATGTATACATATATTTATTATATTATGTGTGTGTTGCATATTATATATGTGTAGATATATGTGGTGTGTGTGTGTATATATACATTATATATATAGAATATTATATTATTATTATATATTATATAATATATATAATCTTATTAATATATGTGTGTGTGTGTGTGTATATACTGT